AAAATGTTGGGGGGGAGGGTTGGGAGGGGGGGAAGAGATCTGCAGGAAAAAGCCTGCACAGCACGGGACACATCCAGGAAAACAATGTGGTCGGCAGAAGCAGGAAACGGGTTACAGGCGAGGATCGGAGTAGGGAAAACCGGGAGGCGGGGGGCGGAAGGCAGCCGTCGCCCGCCCCTAGCCGGGGATGAGAGCGACTTAAATGCCATCTCCAACATTTTTTGTCACCCAAGCCCGGAGATCCCAGATACCGCCCCTAATCCCAGGCTTGGGGGGGNGGGGGGGGGGTGGTGAGGGTCGCAGTCCCGACTACTTCGCTCCAGGAGGTGCCGGAGGAGATCCCGCCCCTGCCCTGACTCGGGAGGCAGGAGGGAAGCCGGCGGGAGCGCAGAGCCGGGCGCCTGACTCCCCAGCGCGCCGCAGCGGCCACCCTCCCTCCTTGGCCGCCCCTTTCCCTCTCTGTGTCGGGAGGACGGGGCTCCCGCCGCTGTCCCCCACTGCCCGCACCCGGAGAGAGGGCCTCACGGAGCGAGGAAGAGGGAGCAGAGGCGGCGAGGCGGTTCAGGCGGGCAGGAAGCGGGGAGGGGTCCTTCAGCTGCAGAGGAGCGGGGTTGACTGGAGCTGCCGCGCACGCTAGGAGGACGGGGAGAGGGCAGGGGAGGACTGCCTTAAAGGTGAGGGGGAATTAGGAGACTATCGTGGGCCGCGATGTTCCATGGAGCGCAGGGATGTTAGCAACTCCGGGGACCTACTTAAGGGGCTGGGAACCCGAGTGCGAAGAGGAGCCGTTCGGGGCGGGCCGGGGGCTTGGACCCAGGAAGGGCCCCGGAAGCGAAGCGGAACACCCATCCTGGGTCCAGGGCTGTACCCCGGCTGTCTGCCAGGGCTTGGAGACAGAGTGAGAGGGCAGCTGATGGCTACGGGTGTTGTCCCATGGCAACGGCGGTTGTCCCATGTTGAACCAAGGCTGCCCGAGTCCCGAGGACTTGGGGAGGGGGCTGGGTGCGGGCTGCGCGGCGCCGTGTGCTCCAGGGCAGAGCCCCAAGCGGTGCGGTGAAGGGCGGGGAGAGATGCAGTGCTGAGAAGTATGAAGGCTGTACGCAGAGTTTTGGAGAGGATCGCGAGGGAGGGGGTCTGAGGGATTCCGGGCGGCACCGCTAAAGCGATGCAGCAAGCAGCATCCGCGCCCTCTCCTTTCCGCCCCAGCCCGGGTTTGTTCAGTCAGGCTCCAGTCCTGCGACCGGGAAGAAGAAAGGGGAGAGGGAAGGAGCCTTTACCTGGCTCTGACGCGACGGATCCCAGGCTCCCTGGTCCGCTTTCCACTCAGAGTTCTCCTCCCCTCTCTTCGCCGCCACCCGTTCCTACGCAGATTGGTCCCCTGGTCCCCTCTGGAGCCTCTGCCAACTCCGCAGGACCCCGCCGGGAAGCAGAACCCACCCCTTTACCAATCACCGCCCGCATTCTATCGACCGATGGGGCCTATAGCCAATAGGAATAGCTGATCCCGGGAGGCCAGGAATGAGGAGGAGGGACTGGCGAAACTTGGAGGCGTGACTAGCGCTACCTAGGCGTGGTCACTGAGCGAGCTCCTCCTGCCGCGGCCAAACCCTGAAGTAGAATTAATGGGCGGGATTAAGTTGGAACCAACAACCAAGGCCGGGTGGGAAGGTGGGACGTGGGGGAGAATTTTAGCCAATAGAGAGTAGAGACCAGTGTGGACTGTAGAACGTCTTCCAATAAGAAGCGCGAAGGGCGTCCTTGCCTCTTTCACTTAGGGCGGAGTAGGCCCGCCCAAACCTCCAGGAACCCGCCAATGAGATCGGCCGCGGGGCCACGCTAGGCCAACCAGAAAGTCGAACTGATCTCGGCACCGTTACTGGGGCGGGGCGTACGGTCCCCCCGCCACTAAGATCTCGTCTGGGGCTTCCGAGCCTTCCAATGTGGGACGTGGGCGAGCGCTAGTTCTCCCAATCGGTGCGCGGCGCTGGAAATTCAAACTGACAGCCGGTTGGAAAGGCAGAGAGAGCGGAAGAGGGGGCCAAAAACGCCGTGTTCTGTGACAGTGACCCCAACGCCGACAGAGCCCCCAAAGCTACCTCCGCCCCTCCCCACGGCCACCGCCGCGTGTTCTGGAGCGGCCACTCCGGGAGAGACCTGGGGGAAGGCGGAGGGCACGAGGGCGAGCAGAGGGGAGGGGGACGCGAGAGCCAGCACGCTGGGCGCCGGGGGCTGCGGGAGAGAAGCGGAGCCGGGGGCAGGCCGGCGGACGAGCCGAGCGGAGGAGGATCGCGGGAGGACGGCAGAGGAGCAGGGATCGTCCCGGCGGGAAGAGCTCGGGGCATTTCCGAATCTGGAGGGGAGGGGAGAGGTTTCCTACGGGAGGCGTGGGTAGGGAGGCTCGGCCGGCGATCCGGCCGGGAGGGGCTTAAGAGCCGAGCAGCTTTAAAGAAAAGGGAATTCTAAAGGGGCGGGGGCCAGAGGAGAGCATCCTTTTAGAGCCTGGGAGGGAGGGAAAAAACCTTAGCGAGGTTCCCGAGGCCCCCTGCAGCGTGGCCTTTCCCGCTTCAAACTCCATTCCCGTCCCGGAAAGTTAAAAGGAAAGCCAGAACTGCTGCTGCTCTCCTGTTCCTCCTCAATAAATATTCCTTTTACCCTCCCAGGGGAAAACAGAAAAGAACTCATTTCCTTCCCAACTTGAGGGCTCAGAAAAGCTCGAGGCCTCGCAGTTTGATTTGTAGCCGAGGGGAATCAAACCAGGAAGGGTCTTGCCCCCGGTTTCCCTTTTCAAAATCCCACCCCTCATCCTTCCCGGGACGCCATGTCCACCAGCAGCTGTAGTTTCAAGGACCGGTGCGTGTCCATCCTGTCTTGCAAATTCTGTAAACAAGTGCTCAGCTCTAGGGGAATGAAGGCTGTTTTGCTGGCTGATACTGAAATAGACCTTTTCTCTACAGACATCCCTCCTACCAAGTAAGTCGTGCTAGTGGCGGGCAACGGGAGCCTTTAACTAAATGGGAAAATGTTATGGCTTGGGCCTCGGAGTCAACAAGGAGATTGTGATTTTGGTGTTCGAGCCACTCCCACCGGTCTGATGACCCCCTTGGAGTATAACTAAGTGGGCAGACTGTCTGGACAAAGTCTGTGGTTTAGCCAGAGCGGGCGGCCCTGATGGAATGCTTCCAGTCATGTGACCAGGTCCCTTAGTTGTACCGGTGGCGCTATGCCCTGCCCAGTATCCTGTCGCACTGGATCAGGGCCGTGCGTGACCTAGACTCCAGGAAATTCATGCAAGCTTTGCTGTACCGTTGGAGAGGTCAAGTTTTTCGTTTTTATCCATCGTTTTACAGCAAAAGAAAAAAAAAATTCATAGTTTTCTACCATTGTTTGTGATTGGCATGCTGAGTCAGATCCCATTGTCCACATAATTCAGGATTCTCAAAACTCTCTCTTTTTCTGAATGTGAGAGACGTTGATTTTTTATGGGATGAAATAGAGACTTAGCCCTAAAATAATCCTTCTCTCTCATAAAGCCTATTTTGGATATCGTGCATTCATTTGTGTAATTCAGTCTTCTTAAATTCTGTCTTCAGTCACTACCCACTTTCAGGTGTGGAGTCCTTAAGAATTTGCTTCCTATTTGGAAAAAGAACCATTTTATTTGACTCACATATACCTTTTTCTAGCTCTAAAAAGTACTTTCTCTTTCCATAGTCAATATAACCCTTATGTGATTTTCAAGATTTAGTTCTTTACTGAATCTTTATTATTAAAGTGAAAGAGTGATTATCCAAAATATAGGTGAATATTCTTTGGACATAGAGCGAGAGAAGGTAGGCTAATAGCCATAAAACTTTAAAATGAATTTCATGATAATGATAGAAACTTTTTTAAAAAAACTTTAATATATGAAAGCTGTGAACTCTTCCTCCTCTGAAATCTTTTCTGAATTCAAGTGTAGTCATGCCTAATGACAAAGTTATTGCAAAGATAAATGGGTTAATATTTAAATACCTCTGTGTGTGTGTGTGTGTGTGTGTGTGTGTGTGTGTGTGTGTGTGTATGCATGTGTGGTGTTGAAAAAAGAAAAATCACTAGGCAATAGATCTGGAACCTACTATTGCAAAGGTTCTATTATAATATTAACCTATTCATCTTTACAATAGCTGTGGTAAGTAATAAGACAGTCATAAGAAGGGCTCAGACATGTTAATTGTTAGAGGTTAGACCAGAGTTCTAGAATAGAGTCAGGTCTTTCCTATTGTCTACACTTCCTCGGAGGGGTTGTAATAGTATGGATTAATGTGTGAGAATCAATGAGCACATAAGATTTTTTTAAATGGAAGTTTTGTCATATTATGGTGAGCTCACAAATATTAAATGACTCTTACAAGATGTACTATAGTTCTACTTCAGACTCTCTTAGCTCTTTGAGCCTGCAAAATTCATACTAAATCACAATCAAAAGTACATTTGATAGCAAGGATATGGAAAAATTGGAACCCTTGTGCACTGCTACTATGGGGAAGCATGACGGTTCCTCACAAATTGAAAATAGAATTACCATATGATTCAGCAACCCCACTTCTGGGTATGTATCCAAAAGAATTCAGGTCAGGGCCTAGAAGAGATACTTGCACAGCCATGTTCTTAGCAGCACTACTCACAGTAACCAAATGGTGGAAGCAGCCCAGGTGTCCAGCAATAGATGGAGTAAACAAAATGAGGTCTGTGTATATAGGGAAATAGTATTCAGCCTTAAAGTGAGGGATATCCTCTCACCTGCTACAACACAGATGGACCTTGAGAGCATTATGCTACGTGAAAATAAGCCAGTCTCAAAAAGACAAATACTGTATGATTCCACTTATATGTGGTGTCTAAAGCAGTCAAATTCATAGGACAGGAAAGGGGAATGATGATTGCCAGGGCCTGGGGGAAGAGGAAAATGGGGAATTGTTGTGTAATGGGTATAGAGTTTTAGTTTTACAAGATGAAAGAGGTCTGGAGATTTGTTGTACAACAATGCAAATACACTTAACAGTTCTGAACTATACACTAAAAGTGGTGAAGTTAGTAAATTTTATGTTATATATATCTTACGGTTTTAAAAAAGTATATTTGACTATCTCTACACTTCCCTCTTCAGCACAGTGGACTTAATTGGAAGATGCTATTTCACTGAAATCTGCAAATGTAAACTGAAGGACATCGCATGTTTAAAATGGTATCTATGACAGTATTCTAGATAGCTCTGGGTTTGGGAGATGGATGTTGACACCAAAGCAGACACAAAGGTCCAGTGGGCTGCATCGAGCACTGGTTATGGCCCTTGCATTGAGCCATTGAAAACCATTTGTTACTTAGAGCTATTTTTTTAAAGGGCCTTGTGACACTTTAAATTTATATGATTTTACAATTTCTCAAAGTTCATTGACAAATATCTGCTTTAATTTTTAGAAAAAGGCAAGTAGTTTAGAGGGGGAAAAACACCTGGAATTATAGTCATAAAAATCAGGTGTGAGCCCTGGCCCTACCCTTACTCTCTATGTAATCTTGAATAAACCCTTTTAACCTCTAAATCTCTGAACCTCTGTTTCCTTATTTAATTTCTATCTTAAGAAGATAAACTTGAGAAGATAGGAACTATCTTGTTAAGATAGAAATTAAAATACCTTTTGTGTTTACCTTACAGAGTTGTGAAGATCAAGTGAATTATGAATGTTAAAAGGCTTAAACTATAAATTCAACACCGATGAAAGCTATTACTATTATCTTTTTAGAGGTAAATTTGAGTGTTATTAGTCCCATTTTAAAGAGAAGAAAGTTGAGATTTTCTCATTTAAATGGGGTTTGGATTATAAATTATAATCCTAACAGTTTAAATTAGCAAACTCATCTTTTGTGCTAATGACTATTTAATTTATTTCATTCATTCATTCATTCATTCATTCATTCAAACTGTTTAATGAGATCCTACCAGGTGCTAGTCATTGTTATAGGTGCTGGAGACACAGCAATAAACAAAACAAAGTCTGGCCTTTGGACATTATATTCTAAGCGGAACACAGTAAGATATTTAAATCAATGAGATACTGAATAGGCTGGGAAGTGCTCCAAAGGAAATAATAATAATAATGCTAGAGCATAATAGATGTTGGGGGAGTGGGTAAGTGCTATTTTGACAGCATGGTTAGGGAAGCCCTCTCATGGGAGTTGAATCCCAAAGGATGCAAAGGAGACAGAAAGAATGTTGTAGGCAGAGGGAAGAGCAAGTGCAGAAAACCCAAAGCAAGAAGAAGCTTAACATGTTCAGAGAATAAAAACATGATGGCCGTGTGGCTGAGACTTCGTGAGCATCGGGGAGAGTAGTATGAGTACATCAGAGAGGAAGTCAAAACCCAGATAACCTGGAGCAGCGCTGTCTAGTAGAAATATGCAAGTTGCATAAGGAAATTAAAATTTCCCAGTAACCATATTTGTAAAAGTAAAAAACAGGTGAAATTAACTTTAATCATGTATTTTATTTAACTCAATATATCCAAAATACTATCATTTCAACATATAACCAACATAAAAAAAATTATTAATGAAATATTTTACTTTCTATATTTTTTCTTAGTCTTTCAAATCTGGTATATATTTCATACTTACAGCACATTTCATTTCAGGCTAGCCAAATTTCAAGTGCTCAATAGCCACCTTTGGACCATGCAGATCTAGACCTTGGTATTAAGGAGTTTGTTTTCATTTGGGGCCAATGGGAAGCCACTGAAGGGGTTCTAAGACGGGAGTAAAGTGATCTGATGTGTCCCTACTAGAATGTTAGCTCCATGAGAACAAAAGCCTGGTCCACCACTGTATTCCTAGCACCTAGAATAGTACCTAACTCAGACTATAAGCTCAAGAAGCATTAGTCGAATGAATGAATGAACAAGGGAGGTAATTGAAGCCATAGAATTTACTCTTGCAATATAGTCTTACAAATAACTGTCAGTCCTAGTCCAAGAACAACTTTTGTTTTCATTCGTTTGCCTTACAATCAGATTATGATTAGAAGACATATTTTAGGTGTTCTGGTATCTTTAACATGGTTTTTTTTTTGGGTTTTTTTTTTCATTGTTGGTTTTTTTGTGTGTTTTTTTTTAATATGTCTTCATTGATTTCAGAGAGAGGAAGGGAGCGGGGAGAGAGATAGAAACATCAATGATGAGAGAGTCATTGATCGGCTGCCTCCTGCACACCCCCAACTGGGGATCGAGCCTGAAACCCGGGCATGTGGCCTGACGGGGAATCGAACCCCAATCGCCTGGATCCTAGGTCAATGCTCAACCGCTGAGCCACGCCCGGCCAGGCTACATGGTATTTTTTATAGGGCCTCACAAAAATGACTGACTCCCACATCTCAGTGGGTGAGGATAGGCTATAAGAATTTTTACAAATTAAGGTATAAGCAGTTCATGTTGTCATTTTTTAAAGTACTAATTAAAACATTCCCTGTATATTCACTTTATTTAATAGTAACTAGATAGGGGGGAAAATCGGTGGAAGAGTGAGGTACTTATAATCAGATGCATAATCCTGAAGACAGTAAAAACTTTTGCAACGTTCTCTAGAGGCTGTGGATTTGCTTTACTTCTGAATTCCCTCAAAAACACTGAAACTAAAATTAGAGCAGCCAGCTTGTGTTTGGTTTACAGGGGCTCAGGCTGTCTTCCTACTCCTCCATCTGTTGAAACAGTTTTTCGGTGCTGGCATGGAACTGGAACATATAAGAACCCAGCTAGCCTCGGTCCTGGGGATAGCAAAAACCTTTTATCCACAGATCTGAGTTTATTCAATATAGTTTGTGTGTTCAGCACATCACTTTGGGGCACTGTACAGAACAAATCACAACCTTATGCCATCTAGAAGCTAGCTTCTGAAGGGAAAATGCATAAAATAATACTAGCAAAGAAATGGAGAATGTGTTAGTATTATTTCACTTAACTTAAAGGCTACTTGACAGTAGAACTGTTATCATTAAAATAACTTGCATCCCAAAGATCCCAGCAATGGAGGATGTTAGGAGGAAATGAGGCCTTTTATGTCATCTGTTTACATTAACATAAAAATGTTTACATGGCCAGGTATTACTTGGCATCTAACAATATTTCTTTTCCTTTTTAGTGGGAACATTGTAGGTTATCATGTGATTGTTCCATGTTGTTCCTGCCTCCTTTCCTGCAACAACGGGCACTTCTGGATGTTTCACAGCCAGGCTGTTTATGGTATTAACAGACTAGACTCTACCGGTAAGAGACAATTGACTGAAACATTCCTCTCACATTTGTCTATCAATATCTGAGTGAAACTCCCAATAGGTCATTTCAGGATTCCCTCTGAGACTTCATCTGGATTGATCCACTAGAGTGAAACATCAATCAAATTAACTTTTTTTTTAACCCTCACCCAAGGACATACTTAGAGAAAGGAAGGGAGAGAGAGCTAGAGAATCATGGATGTGAGAGGGAAACATCAATCGGTTGCCTTCTGAAGGCACCCAACCAACAGGGAATCGAACCTGCGACCCTGTATGTGCCCTACCCGGGAATCAAACCCGCAACCTTTTTGTGCACAGGAGGATGCTCAGCCAACTGAGCCACTCCAGCCAGCTTAAATTAACATTTTAATTGTTCTAAATTGCTGCCTTGATATATATTATGACTCCAGAGAATTTTGGAAGATTTTAGATTTGATAGTCAAGTGTGTGTGTGTGTGTGTGTGTGTGTGTGTGTGTGTGTGTGTGTGTGTGTGTGTGTGTGTAAGAAAGGGGCCATAGAGAGCTGGGAGGGAAGATGACTAGGTAACTTATGTATTTGTTGATATCGCTTTAGGATGAAAAGGAGCATTTTGACATCTGTATTAATAAAGTATGATGCAATTTTAGTCAAAGGAAATATTTAATACCAATACGTTATATTAATTATTTAGTAGAAAAAGATTGCAACCAGTTCTTAAAAAATATTTACATAATACATTTTATATTGTCTAGAGCCATTCAGTTTTGTTATGGGACACATGTTCTCAATGTCTAATACCTATTTACGCAACAGACCAACTTGACATTTAGTGGGACTTTTTTAGTGGGAACTAAAGTTGATAGAACTTTGGTTTATACAACAGGTTTAAAGAACTTGACAATCCAAATTGACACTAACACTCAGGTTTTTTAATGTGTATTTTAGTCTTCTTCAGAATTTAAAATATAGTCCTTTTTTAAAAGTATGATTTGCCTTTACAGACTGAAAACAAGATCACAAATTGTAAGCTAGGTTTTCAGGGTCTTTAAACCCTCCAATTATGCTTGGGTTTTTAGAGACTGAGTTTTTATTTTATTTTTTATCACCTGGCATTTAATTGTGGCTCTCAACCATTTGGGGGTCTTAAAGGGTCCAGTACATTAAGAAGGCCATTTTTGAGCAAGGACTGATCTGAACTGCCCTAGGTGAGATACAGGCTTCTAATTTAGGTTTCCAGTTTTATATTTGTGTTGCTCATAGGACACATTAAAGGAAACTTCTGCTTTGATATTATTTTTCCTGCCTCATGGAATTTACAACACAGGGTGGCGATTTTTCAGTTTTGATTTACTTTTTAATATTGGTCAGTTTTTCAAAGATAAAAGCCTAACATTCTTCCATTTGCGTTGAGTCTAATCCATGAGAAACAGATGTATCACAGGATTTCCTTCCTCCCTTAACAGAGGAAGGAAGGTGCTGCTTCTGTCAGATTCAACCTCTTAGTTTATTTTTTCTTCTTTGAACCAATTGTGCTGAGCTACTCATGTCTCTGCGTATTGACTCCAAGAATATCAAACTTCTCCTCTGTAACCCTAATATTGTGATTTAAAGCAGGATTTTCTAGATGCGTGGTATAAAACAGGGTACCTCATGGCTGTGGGAACTGTCCTTGAAACACCTGAATCACAGCATCAAAGGAATAGATACACAAGCCTTATAAAGTTCTAGAATGTTTAGGCTGAAAGGGCGCCAAGAAGCGTATGTTCTAGGCATGTAGACCTGATTTCCTGAAATGTTCCTGAGGAGGCTTGGGAAACCTCAGTTCCCATCCACGGGGATTGGGAAATGCCCTCAAGGCAAATTCACTTCAGCTCTCCATTGACCTTTATGGTTCTAATTGTCCATGAGATTTCGCCTAGTGATTCCTTACTATCCTCTCAGCTCTTCAGTGCCATTTACCAGAAGCAAAACACCATTCATTCTTGGGGAAAAGGTGTTTTTTATTATAAACAATTCAAACACACAAAAAAATTACAGAAAATAGTATGATAGCCATCTATATGTATCAGATAGATGCTAACTTCTTGCCTTATTAGATTCCAGGATCTCAACCAAGAGAGACAGTGGATTGTTGCCATGTTTCAACAGTTCAGCAGTGCACATTCTTGCACGTGTCTCCTCGGCACCTGTGCAAAATGGGTAGTTAGGGACAAGGATGAGTGATGGGTCATATTTGCAATATATATAATTTTTTTTTAAATTCACACAAATAAAAGAAAATGAGCTAAACCTGCACATGTGGATATAGGTAAAGCTCAAAAACATAATGTCTAATAAAAAAAGCAAATTAGAGCCCTGGCCGGGTGGCTCAGTTGGTTGGAACATTGTCCCGTACACCAAAAAAGGTTACAGGTTCAATTCCCAGTCAGGGCACAGTCCTAGATTTTGGGTTGGATCCCCAGTGGGGGTGCGAATGGGAGGCAACTGGTCCATGTTTCTCTCTCTATTGATGTTTCCCTCCCTCTCCCTTTCTCTCTCTTTCTCTTCTCTCCTTCCTCTCTTTCTAAAGTCAATAAACATATCCTCAGGTGAGGATTAAAAGGAAAAAGAAAATTAGAAAAGATACATATAATACCAGATTGTAAAAATATAAATACACAAAACAATAATATCTACAGTCTGTGGTTGCATACATTTGTAGTAAAAGTAGTAAAAACATCCATGGTGTACTGATAAGTGGTACAAACGGAATTCAAACCAAATCTCCAAATCCTGGCTCATTCCATCCGCATGTGGCCGCTGTCTTGGTGTATGTGGAGTGGGCATCCAGACTCGCTGAGTCCTCTTGTGCCCACACTGCCAACTGAACAGCTTGAGATTTACTTTTGTTAGACTTCATTGGCTCTTCTAAAGGTCAATTGTTTTTTCAATGTAGTGCTTTAAAGCTATAATATAATTCATGCCCAGAATAAACCATCTCAGTATCCTCTGCCATATATGTGGTCTTATACTAATGCTGTATTATTCAGTATAAAAGCTGACTGTCCTTTCACAGTGAGGTTTTAGGTTGTTTTATTTATTGTATTGACAGCTGCAGTCTGGTTCTAAAATTGACAGTTCTACCTTGACAGTCTCTAGACTGAAATCCACACATATCAAAGATTATTGTTCATATTATAACTGGTTCCAAAACCTTGCTTTTCTTAATCAGAAAAAAAGGCAGCAGCTACTTCCGTGCTTGTTGATGAGATGAGACTTATTCAGGTCTTTTCCCTGCACTCTCCAAAGAGACAGTTAATCTAAAAGGATCTTGTGAGATCTCTATTCTTAAAAATCATTAAAATAGGTTTGAAAAGTATCACTGTTGAGTAATTATGGCATAATATAGCTGGAGGCAGGGTTTGAGTAAATGGACTCCCAAGATCCTTTCAAATTCTAAGATTCTAGAATTCAAACCTCTGCTTAAAAAGGGTTTAAGAATATGTGTGTCCTAGATGAATTATATTAGATAATTTTATGTGTGGTACATTCTTTCATAGCTTTTTCTCCTTACTGCTAACTCTGTGGTTTAATATAAGAATGTTAACATAAAAGGTTACATATATCATGTTGTGAGTTACAACTGTAGTGAGCACCAAATGACCTTATGACCTTTTATTTTCAGGTGTTAACTTCCTACTTTGGGGCAACTTGCCAGAGACAGAAGAGAGTCCAGATGAAGACGTGTTAGATATCTCAGCAGAGGAGTGCATTAGATGAGTAGAAGAATAGAAGTGTGATAGATAGAATAGTCAGACTTTTTACTGTATCCATGTATCAACTTTAAAATTGCTAGTAAGGATTTTCCAGCTATTTCTTTTTTTGGAAAACAAAACTGGGGCATTTGTTGATTTATTTATTTGCTGTCTTAAATTAATTACCTGAGTTTTACTTGAGCCAATGTTGTTCTTTCCTTCTCCTTACACTTCTATTTCTTCCTCTCTTCATTCCTCTACCCCATATAAGTGTATTCTTAAGTTCACATAGGAGATTTTTCTCATGTGCCACTCAGCTACCTCCCAATCTGGGAACTTTTTCTTACAACTAGATGCCAGGTATCATTATTTTACATTCTTGAATAAGGGGCATTAGTACCCACACCTGTATCAACCATGCATATGTCCATGCATATAACCATGCATACTTATGCGATGCTCAACTTGGAATTAAAGCTTAACAGAGGGTTTTTAAAAACAAGCTGACAGGTTTCCATGGGTACTGGTTATCATATGTTATTTTGGTGATAACTACTTTAATATGGAACAAGACTTTATGAATCAGCAAATATGATAGATTTTAAAATGTATGGAGAAATCCTCTTGGTTTCTCAGCATGATGTTGGATAAATGAATTTGTCAGAAAATTATCTATATACAGTATACTGTCTACCTATATTATTTATTTACCTTCTAAAGTCGAATGGATATTGTATTATGAAAACCAGATAAACCAAACCTCTGTCTTTAAGTTTGCCTGTTCTCCTGGGCTTTCTCCATAAATAGCAAATTTTAGATGAGTAGTCTCAGTCCCAACCCTTAAATAGAAAAAACAACAACTAAAGACGTGGTTTGTTTAAGCTGCTGTACATTATAAAGAGAGTTTGTTCTTTTGTAAGCTGCATTCAGAGCCACACAGAAACAGGGAACTGGGATAGTGCTGGATTCTGGTTTTATGTATATAAGCTAAAATCAATGTATCACCTCAACTAGTATCTCAGCCGTAGGCATTCTGTGAATAATAATACCAAAACAGACTGAGTTGCAGTTTTATAAATAAAGCTTTGTCCTGAAAATGATCAGCCTTCCTTTAATTTTTTTTATTGTACCCACTTTTCTTACCTAAAAATATAAAAGTATAGAATATAAGAGCTAACATTTATTAAGTGCGCACCACGTGCCAGACACTTGTAAATGCTTTACACACTTAATTCACTTCTTCCTCTCTTATTCCATAAGAGGTAGGTACCATTATTTTTCCTTCTTGAGGGTGAGGCACAGAGAGGTGAAGTAGTTGTCCAAGGTCACATAACTGGGCAGAGGTATGGCCAGATTCAGGCTCAGGCTCAGACGCAGACAGACAAACTGACTCCAGAGCTCCCGCCCTTCATCGGTACGCTGTTGCCCCTGAGCAACTTCAGACAGTTATCAGCTGCATGGTTTCATTTAGCCCGGGTGCATGCTGGGTGACAGCTACCGTGTGGCGTACCCTGGGGAGGGCCCCAGTGACCGACTTCAGGACTGAGCAACCTCCCTGGGTCACAGGGTAAAGGTGGCCTGTGGATACCGACAGAACCATTTGCTGTGAACCAAGATAAGAGCTGCTCCAGGAAATGCTGTGACTAGTACCTAGGAAACTCCTAACAGCCTCTCACACTGACCACCAGCACTCACAGACGGTCACCAAAAAACCGAAGGGATAGTGGAACAATTTGTTTCTTGATTTCGGATGTTTTTCCTTTAAATCCTCTTAAAGACTTTCCCAAACAAGGTGGCATAACGGATAAAATCAAAAGTGTAAAAGGATACTTTTAATCAATTTATACTTTTTATAAAAAGTATAAATTGATACATTATATACTGCTTCAGTTAACCTGTTCAATTAGGGAAGAAAAGTTGAAGGCTAAGGTAGAGAATGTGGAAAATTTTAAATCCAACAGCGTTCATCTGGTTTCCTTCTGCCTGGTTGACTGAGGGGCTCTTTGAAGAGCAAAAACAAGATGGGCAGTGATTGAAACAAGCCCCAAATGTGATTCCACTCCAGCTGCAGGATATTTCAAATTACCCAGCTACCTTTTGGTGAACTGGGTTATGAGAAGGCCAAGTCTAAGCCGAAAATGGACTCATAATGTTTTATCTAGAGAAATATATTCATGACACTATTTTTTTTTAAAATATATCTTTATTGATTTCATAGAGAGGAAAAGAGAGGGAGAGAGAGATAGAAATATCAATGACGAGAGAGTCATTGATCAGCTGCCTCCTGCACGCCCCTGACTGGGGATCGAGCCCGCAACCCGGGCATGTGCCCTGACGGGGAATTGAACCCTGATTGCCTGGATCCTAGGTCGACGCTCAACCGCCGAGCTACGCCCGGCTGGGCAACACTATTATTATTATTATTTTTAAATATATCTTTTTATTGATTTCAGAGAGAGGAAAGGAGAGGGAGAGACAGAAACACCAATGATGAGAGTCATTGATCGAGCCTGCAACCCCGGCATGTGCCCTGACGGGGAATTGAACCCCGATCGCCTGGATCCCAGGTCGACGCTCAACCGCTGAGCCATGCCCGGCCGGGTAACACTATTTTTTAATAAAAGCAAATTATACACTCTGATCCAAAAACCAAAAGCAGAGTCACACATGTGGATTTAGCATATGCTTTCTAGTCGTAGCACAATTTCTAGGCCTAGAAAATTCATTTATGCTTTGGTTCTCTTCAAATATTTGATTCAATTCAGCAAAGCTGTATGATGCTCCTGTGGTGTTCCGAGAATTGCACAGCGACAGGCCCATGCCTGCCTTCATGGTACACACAGTGGTTTGGAGAGAGAATAGAACTTGTATTTAATGCATCAGGTTAAGTGATTTAACAAAGGCATGCTGAAAGTTCAATGACTTCATAGATGAAAACACTCATTCTGAGTAGTAGGAGAGAGTGGGAGTTGATAAAACTACAGGGAAGAAATGATACTTGAGCCAGGCTTAGAAGCACAGTTAGGAGTTTGCCAGCTGGGAAGAGAGTCCTGGGCAGTAAAAAATAGTATAAGGAAATGGACCAGAGTTTAAACATATCTGGCTTATTTGGTAAATTATAAGTGGTCCCCTATACCTTCCGAGATATGTAATGAGAATTAGAAGATAAAGCTATCGAGGAAGTTTGGGGTCATGTTATGAAGACTGTTCTAAGCCATTGTAAGTTTAGGCTTGATCCAGTAGTGATGTAGTTATTGAGGTTTTTCAGCAGGAGGAGAGACAAAATGATCTGATTTAGGATGCCAGCTCTGATGGCAAAGTGTAATCAAGTTTGGTTTCCTAGTGTCCTTTCTTTGATCATGAAAATTATATTTATTGCCTTTACCCTTTGAACGTATATAGGTTTTCAAGTTCCCTAAATTTCTCGTCTTTCATGGAACATCTGGTCTGCAGTGGGGCACTGCCTTTTTTTCCCCTGTTCCATCTTGTCATTCCTGAAGTTCAAGGAAGGGACAGTGAGTCATCAGCTCACTCACTATGGCTTTTTTTTTTTTTTTTTTTTTTTTTGCCCCTTTATCTTTTTTCTCAAGTTAGTTTCTCAACCTCATACTCAGGCTTTGATGGGTGGAGCCTAATACTGAAGCCATAATATTATGAATAATCCCTGGCTCTGAAAACCAGGTCTTTAAACATTACTAATCTGGGGAGATTACCCCACAAAGAACTGCCCTTCTGACCTCTGAGTCACATGGTGGCTGATAAAGAATAATCTGTTATCTCTTCTCTCTGTAAGGAGGAAGTGACTATAACTAATTAGAACATAAATGGGGAGTGGAGAAAGATAGGAGAGGGTATGGATGGAATAGTCTTGCTTCAGCCCTGGCCGGGTAGCTCAGCTGGTTAGTGTCATCCTGATACGCCAAGGTTTTGGGCGGGCCCTGGTCGGGGCAGATATAAGAATGAACCAGTGAATGCATACAGAAGTGGAACAACAAATCTCTCTCTCTTTCCCTCCCTCCCTCCCCACCCCCTCTCTCTCCCTTCCTTCCCTTCTCTCTCTAAAATCGATTTTTAAGATAGTAAAAAAAAAAAAAAAATAGTCTTGCTTCGGTGATACATTACTTGATGAAGGCTTTCTCTATTTTAACATTCATGCTTATAAAAGGAAATGGTTTCCTTTTCTGCCTTTTTTTTTTTTACTTTAAAAAGCAGCCTAAACCATAGTTTCTTTCTTGCCTGGTATTGAGCGTATGCCAAATCTACCCTAAAATGCACAGATGGAAAAAATTAGTCTATGTCTGTAGTACCTCTGGGGTTGAATATTTTTAGTACTTAAATCTTTAGCTAAAGATTCTTTCTTCCAAGACTCTCATTGAATCATTTTATTGTCATCCAATGGATAAACTTACTGAGATAAAAATTAATATCATGTGTTTGTATATCCCTTTATAGTTTATGATGAGCTTTCCCGTGCACCTTAATTTAGTCCTCAGGATAACCTTGGAAGTTATTCCCATTTTACCAATTAAGAAAGAAAACCGTAATCTTAACACTCAGAGTTAGAAGAATTTAAGCCTGAATGTGGGCCTTCTCCTCGTTTACGGTCTTTTCTACCTCCCTAACCTACCCTAAAGCCAAAGTCCACTTTTCTCTCACTAGATATAAAACTTAGGACAAATTCTCTTTCACGTTCAACCTCAAAGCCTAACTGCTCTCATTAATTAAGCCATTGGACAAATCTTCACTAAATGCCTAGTGTAGGAAAAATAGAAGCAGAGGATCCAGAGCCAAAGCGGACAAAGCCTCTGCTCTCACGTGCAGCTAAGGCTCTGTTGACAAAGAAGAAATCGAGCTAACATTTGCTGAGGGCTTACTGCACGGCCAGGCCCACCTAAGGGCTTTGCAGGCAGCACCTCCAAGAGGCCATCCTGCGTGTACCACGAGCGCAGGAAACAGGTGCGGAGGTTAAGGACTGTGCTGATGTCACAGAGCTGGTAAATGACACCACCCTGAGATCTGGGGGGGCCAGAGTGACTAGGTGTTCTTTTTATTTCCCAATGTAGTTGTCTTCCCTCCAAAGAAAGTCAGGTTTTCCATGAACAAGCTTCCTGTATGCATCTCTCCCTATTAGACCTTAGTTGATTTTTGTTTTAAGTTAATACTGTGGTAGCGACATCTCCCTTTTCAGTAAGGGAGATGCGGCATGCCTACAAATGATACGAATGTTAGTCTTAGACACTATGGAGGAAGGAAAAAAACCATGCAAAATTCTCCATTCCCAGCTTTACGCACTTCTATCTGCAAGTGAAGTCTTTTTTACTAGTCCGGGTTTTTATCTTACAAGCAGCCAAAGTTCAGTAAAGAGTAAATACCTGTTCTTTAAAGTTTGTACGTCTCCAGCATTTCATAATAAAAAGCGAATTAAATGACCACCTTTGTAAATTGCTCTTAGTCTCAGCCTTCCTTATAAGCTTGTATTTAAAATGAATTTATATGGAATTTCAGAAGCAGCCTTGCCTCAAATGAGCACCACTAAGTCTTCAAAACAAGATTATGTGTTTATTATGAGGGAAGCAGAAACAGGTATCAAATCCATATTCAAATTTCGCCTTTTGACACTTACGGAAGAGTGGCTGATATATAGCTAAAGATTAATTGGATCTGCCAAACATGGGCACCACTGAAGTTTGCCCACCAGAATGCATCTCTACACTTCCATTCACACAGCCCACTTCCTCTGGAAAGGGGCCCGTGGTAAGAGTAGGCATATGGGAATGATTCACTTGGGGAAAACTGTACCCAGAATATTAAAGCCGTTTCCTTTCGGTCTCTTTATCCTTGCCATAATTTTTCTAGCCAAAGGAACCACCTGCTATTAGAGCTGTGACACCTGAAAAGCTTTCTGTATATTGCAGGAGATTGCTCATGCGTGGGTAGATTTTCAGGCTGTTCTGTGGTATTTAAAAAAGTGGTTTTGGGGGGAGATATATTCTCAGAGACTGGAACATTGCCTTGTCTTATCAAAATTGCTCTGTAGCCTTGTTCACAAACACCTTAAAACACTGAGCCACAGATGGAATTCAGTAGAAGAC